CAGGGCGCTATGTGTTCTCATTACATACAGCCTGCTGGGAAATACAGTCAAACCATAGTTCACGTGTTTATCATGTTGAGTAACTCAAACACAAATGAATCCGTTACCTCTATGGTGCAGTGAACTCATCCCAGCAACAAAGAAACAGATCATTACAATGCCCCTTCAAATGAACACAGAGTTCCTTTATTGCGGGGATGTACTTCGTACTTCACTGTCTGTTTACCGTGAAATAAGGAGAGTAGCAATGTACGTCATGTATTTGCAGATATGTGAAAGTATCTATATAGATGTCGTCTGCTGAACCTGTTCTTCCATTTATTGTAGGTCGCTACATAAGTACTCAGACAAAGGCGTCCAATTCCGTGACCACAGCCTACGATGTTGGAATTCCAGTTGCCACGACAAGCAGATTGCTGATTGAGGTCAAATTCAAAGAGCTCGCATGGGTCATACTGTCTGAGACCACGATATTTAAAATGAAACGTAATAAAAACTTTTATCTTATTGGCCTTCAAAAGAAGGGCACTTATCAAAGTGTAATCTTAAGGTACGAATGTCTTAATTGTGCCAATACCAAAAAAGCGAAGGTAACACTGGATGTACCATTTGCTAAAGTGTGGATCCGATGGACAAACAACAGCATCAAGGTCGGGAAGGGTTTAGTTGATAACGAAGCTGCAGTTTTCGAGTTTGAAGGAACACACGCAGTCCCCGTTCGTTACATATCCTTGTCGACACCCCGATCTGTTGGCTACTGGCGCTTTCTAATCGGTGAGTAACTTCATAAACAGAATGAGTGGTCAGGAACGTGTATACTGAATACAACCACCCTCGGTTAAATAGAACATGGGCATGGAGAGTTTCAAGTCTTGAAGACTCCGCCCTTGGTAGACTCAAATGCAATATGTCGACTGAATGAATGAACGAACGAACGATAGAAAATGTCGACCCTGAAATTTCTCACCTTTGCTATGTGATATTTGAAGGTCGTTGGCCGTCATCTACTGTCAGGCTGCACGACAGGGTGTTGTGTGTTCTAATTCGCCCATCGTTATCATGCCACTATTTCTAGAAGCTATTAACTCTAACAATGTAGGACATTGTAAGTTATTTCTCAGGATTATAGGAGTTATCAGATAGACAGGAAACGGGTGCATTAGTGGGCGTGACCTATATAGTCTTGTGGATAAAGCGTTTCCTCGTCACGCAGAAGTCACGAGTTCGATTCTCGAAATTGGTACTATTTTAGAAACCTATTCCTACCGCACCCAGTCGTGATATTGTTTCTAAGACACAATATCCATGCACTATCAACACAATTTTGCACCCCCCCCCGATAACTTGACTACGAGAGTGTAGCACTGTTTGTATATATAGACAACAGTCGGCAAATTTCTCATGCATGTTACAGGGTATATCCTGTATGACAGTGATGACGAGCTGTTTGACTGGCAGGTCCGTGCTACAAAACCTTTATTGAATGACAGACTCCTGTATCCCGTGACGTTGTGATATTTATTACCCACGTGGTCAACGTATGGGTAGTTGCATACTGATCTCGTACGTCACACGAGTGTCGTATCGCGTTGACCTGTGTCGTAACGACTTGACCTGATTTAATTGGATAACCGATGACCTCTATTAGGTCACATTCTGACGTAACTATTTTTTCATTCATAACAAACACGCGAATTCATTCATTCTACAACTTAAATGCATTGTGGGAGTGTAAACATTGCGAACGTTGCCGTGTCGGTGTTTAATTGTGAGTCGAACTAAGACATTATATCCGTCGAAAAACATAAGCACAATGTTTCCACCAGTGATGTGAGCCGAATGAAGCAACTGCAAACCAAGAAATGCGGTGCTAATGAGTAGTTTACTGTAGGAGGTTGTACGAGGCGATGACAACTGACATGCATCGTGACGTCGGTTACCAAACAGTGACGTCATTACAGTGTGACGTCATGCAATATTGTACTACAGTACAAAACTCTTCCGCAACCTCTTTATGAAACCGATTTCGTTTTGAAACCAAAATATGAACAAAAATACGCTATTTGTCAATTTAATGCATGTAAGACGTGGGTAATAAATAAAATACCACACTCGGTCTCATTACATACGAATTATACGAAACTCGTGACCTTCCAATGATATCTGATACCATAGGAAGGACACTCGTTTCGTATAATTCGTATGTAATGAGACCTCGTGTAGTATTCTCTATATATATCACCTATTACTTGTTACAGACGCTCCCCCAGTAATTGAGTTTCCCGAGCATGGAACAGCAATCAGTGTTCCCGAGAATGAAATGGTCGGCAAGGTGGGTCACTCAACCTTTCAGAGACTGTATGAAGCAGCCATGTTGTAATGGAAAAAGGTGGGTTTTCTGAGTTCACTGGAAACGTCAGTGCCATCTGCGCCATATACTCAGTATAAAGGAAAAACTTCAGGCATAGTATCGAACTTGTGTTTAGGGCAGCAGTTTTGTTTTCTGTGTCTCTCAGTTTCTCATCGCCCGACCGACCCTTCTAATCTTATTGCCGCTCTCTCTCTCGCCCCTAACAAAAAACACAACAAAACAACAAAACCCAAATATAACAAAAACAAAAACCCAAATATAACAACAAAAGAAAACAAAACAAATTCCAACACCGCCGACTCGAACCTAAAATGTACCGCCTCGTCAAATAAAAATGTTAATGTTCATCTTTTAATCAGTCGCCGCCACAAGTCCAAAGAACGCAAGAAATTGTAATAATCATTACAATAAATGAGAATCAAGAACATTTTTCAGATAATTTTGTCTTTATTAAGTTTTTGTTTTTCTTCAGACTTGTTCAACGTGAAACACAGTAAAAGAAAATGATGCCCTTACACAGATATGTAGACGTGTATAGTCTCTGGTTTACAGAACAAATGTCCGCGAATGTAGTCGACCTTGTTTATGTCACCTTTGTATATGTCAATGCCTTTTTAAGCTGACATTTGAAGAGGACGTTAACATCTAACTGACCATATATCATGTGTCATCATTTTGTCATCCTATGACAACAATGCCCTTGAAACTTTGTGCTCGGCCTTCTTAAGCACACGGCCTAATTTTGCGAAGTTTCATATTTGATAAGGTCAAGTGAAGGTAAAGGTCAATTACAAGGATACCATCCCATTCAGAGTCTATGTAAGTTGACTGCTGGTTGACATAGTGCCGGGAGTTTCATCTTGAAAGAGATAGAGTGTGAAGGGTCCGCTTTAGCTCTGGAAAGAAATGAAGCTCATTTGTAGATGTTCTTCATCGAGTGATGACGCGTTCAGAAACCACTCATCAAATCTGTCCCACATATCTGTAGATCTGATATCTAAATAGCAATCATGATGAGACGAAATATGAACAGAAAAGTACAAGATATTTTAATAATCTCCATTCTGATTGACATAACGTTTTATAATCAAATTTCAGAGCATCTACGAAGTGCGGGCGTCTGACCCCGACCATGACACGTTAACATTCAATGTTACTGACCAGGACAAAGGCATGTTCATCTGTCGAGGAAACGACATCGTCCTGAACAAGCCACTGAATCGCGACACCGAACCGATGTACAACGTCGTCCTAAGGTTGGTACTTCGTAGAGTCCCGGCAGAATGCGAGTATCATGAGCTGATGTTCACACTATTTGTTTGTTGGTTAACCCCGCGGTTAGCGATATTCAATCTGTATCATGCTATCTTCACATAATGAAGTCTTGACCGGGGAAGGAATCAGTGATTGATATTGCCAGCGACCCCCCATCCCCCGCAGTATACAAAGTGCCTAGCAATAAAGTCATGATGTACCTTCAGGATAAAATAATATTTTTCAACATTATGGGCATGTTGGCTATATTTGTTTGGTGAATCCTGTAATTTTGTTCTATTGAGGTAGGGGCTCATCACGTTTGTAAACATCTTCACCCCCCTAGCCATAACTTTTGTACGCTCCCTAAACCTGATTCAGATTTTATGAAAGCGGCTTTTCCCTGATCTCATCTGATTTGTTTGGGCAACATCCACTTTCCTTTTCTGCCGCTCTCGACTACCTCACACAGACAGCAAATTGTCAGTGATTTAAATGTTTATACGCCATGCCTTGTACTCGTTCTGTCCAGGGTGTCGGACGAGGTAAACACCGTGGAAAGATCCCTCCTCATCGTCGTCACCGATGTCAACGACAAGAAACCGGAAGTGCGAGTATCAGACGCCGTCATTGTTGAGAGGAGACTTGGAGGAGCTATCTTGTATGGTGGAACTGTTTCAGCAATTGATGCTGATGTGAACGACACCCTAACGTTCCAGCTGATAGGTGTGTATGAGAGATTCCCATCAACACCACATGATGTCTTCACATATCTAAACATTGCTTCACCAACAAGTACTTCACGTACGTCGATATGCCACTCATTTTGAAAACAAATATATTATCTCAGAATATATATAATGATATTTATCTCTTGCAGACAGCCCCTCAACTGCTGTAGTCGTAGATCCACAAACCGGAGTGGTGTCTCTCAATCACACAGCCACAATCATCCAGAAAACATTTCCGCAAATATTCACCATAGCTGTCACAGACAACGCAAACCACGTGACCACAACACGTTTCAGCTTAAGTATGGTCTCGTCTGGTAATGGCGTATGGAGTGGAGAAACAACAGCCAGCCAATCCAAGGCTGGAGTCGAGGATCCCCACAACACAGGAGGGGCTTTCACAATCAGGATGACAGCCGGCAATCACACTGCGAGCAACAAACAGAACGAGCATCACCTCCAGACTCCGCACAGGAACATTGCTACACGTTAGTTCAGTTGATCATTTATCGTGAATGAAAGAACAACATGTAGGTCTGAATTCGGCCACAGTGAATGAGTGAGTGAGTGAGTGTTGCTTTAAGCCGCATTCCAGTTACACATCATATTATGGCTGCTTCAAATGGGAGGACCAACCAAAGTGATGCTGCCTACGTTTGGTTTGGGCCAAATATTAGCTTGTTAATCACAGCCAGTGGTCCCTCACACGACTAAACCGTGCCACACAACACAACAACGGACATATTGTTGGGCATACTTCGGTAGATTTGTAGGCAACTGAATCATGATACATATAGGTGCTGTCACAGCAAATAATGACTTGAATCTCATTGCAGTGTGCCACAACTTGGCCTCCGCGGTTGTCCAGACGTCAGCTGTGTACCTGCTTCTCCTTGTTCTACTGTTCTGGTACTGGATATAGAGCATGAAATTTTGCATGGAACCAGGCCCCAATTTCTCGAAACAAACTTAAGTCTTAGTTTTTACTCAAATTTGAGAAAATGCAGGAAAACGCATTTCCAGCGTAAACTGAAATCGATATTAAATTCAAACAGTAGACAACTTGAGTTTGGTAGATAGACTACTTGAGTTGTTTCGACTTTTTCAAACGCAGTTGAGTTAGAAATTCAGTTGTTTCAAATAATCAAACACAGTTTGAAATTTGAGTAAAATCTTCAGTTTGATTCGAGAACCGTGTGTACCTGTGTTGTATCTGGTGTACCATTACCTTTGATGAACTCTTGATCAAAGTAAACTCCGTCATGCAAGCTAACATTTTCTATGATATCAGTTCTCATTTCATCACACCTCTGGTTCAAGACAATTAAAAGTAAGTTTTAAACCAAATATTCACACTTCTGGTTATCAGTGGTTAAATGTCATATCAAACAAAGTTGTGTTGTTTTACCACAGAACGTCACAAGCAAGAGCACCCAATACATCTATCACCACGTCGACCCTCAGCACCCGCCCCTCGCATAATGATCTTCCTTTCCCACCCCCCAAAATGTAATAGTGTTTGTTTTTTGCCTGCTGCAGTCCTCTAAACATGAATTAGATTTTGAGTGACCTTGGGGGTTCAACTTCCAAAACTTACTGTAAGATCATCATCCCAAAGGGGCTATCCAAATATGATGTCCCTTGGTGGTGGAGATTCTATTGATATTCGCTGTAAAATTCAGTTTATCATCGATAATAGTTCCGAGGTACGACCTGTTAGCTGTCACCATCAAAAGATACAATTCCGAGTGTGGCGTAAAACTAAACTCACTCACTACTCTTAAATCACTATCTATGTTTTTCTCCGTATTTAGGATTAAAAAGTTGTTGCATCAATGGTAAAACCTCAAAATGGCTCAGTGGTACAGGGAAACAAGTGCTGGCATTTTTTTGCGTAGGTTCCACCGTCAATACTCCGACGGTCGTGAGTATATAAAGTGAACAGTATCGGGGTCAACAGGCAACCCTGTGAAGTGAATGAGGGAGTGAGTTTAGTTTTACGCCGCTTTTAGCAATATTCCAGCAATATCAAACGGAGGACACCAGAAATGGGCTTCACACATTGTGCCCACGTTGGGAATCGAACCCGGGTCTTCGGAGTGACGAGCGAACGCTTTAACCACTAAGCTACCCCACCGCCCCGCAACCCTGTGGAGCAGTCTTCTTCGTGAATGTGTAGTATTCACTCCCACGTACCAAAGCCGATTGGTAAGGAAATATACTATTCACACTTTGCTAAGGATCAAATCATGGATTCAACAGAAAACTATGATGTGGGGTCGAATTTGGTTTAAATATCCAAGCTTATTGTAAGCATGTTTCTTAGGTTAGTATGTCATTGCATCTCGTGGATCCCATACCTGCTATTGACAGGTGTTGTATATTTGTCAATGACTCGTTCCATGATTAGCAAAATGGTTGATTGGTGCCATGAAAACCATTTTTATGGTTACTCATGTATCAAGTGCATAAGGTTAGAATAAAGTGGCTTTCTGCCTAAAGAGGGGTTACCATATTATTATTTATCAAGTTTATAATGGATACGATTTCATATTATATATCTACGTTTCAGTAAAGTTGTGAATTATTGTGATCCTTATCAAAGTGTGAGTAGTACAGTATAACATGGATAATCTAATCAGACACAATATACTAACGCCGACCAGTCCGTGTTTGCTTCCTGTAACATAACAGCTTTGTCCATTTAAGAGAGAAGCGATAAACAAGCAGATAAAGGATAAGTTGACAGATATCCTTTTCGTATATACGTGTACTTGTTTCTTGGACTTATTTTATTGCATTTTAAAATATCAAGTCAGCTTTGGAAATTTCTTACAGCAAAACGGTTATTGTAGAAATATGAATGAAGTTGAAGCATCAGCTGATGTACGATGTAGTGTACGATGTAGTGTACGATGTAGTGTCCATCACTTGTATCAGGCAGTGGACTGCAGTCGACGGAAGGGATTTACCTCTATTCTCTCTATTTGTCTGGCCATATCATAGATATCGTCTGTTACCTTCGATGGGGACCGCATTTTATTCTTCACGCTTTCTTTAATGAACTCGTATAAATCCAGTTTATCTAGTGGGATTTCCTCCCCGTTGACGTTGACAACCAGCTTTGAGGCAGACCCTGCAGACTGTTGGAGAGATATCATCATATTTGATAGCATGATTGGCTCGACTTTCAGACGTTCAATAACTGCGCTTTCCACAAAGTCTTTCATGACATCATCCAGCTTCGTCACGGTGGTAATATTTCTCTCCAGTATCTTCACTGCGTCGTTGTACGCCTCCAGTCTCCCTTGTGCACTTTTTCGTACCTGGCTTTTCCAAATTGCCAACACAAATGCACCAATAAGCGCTAGTATCGAAGCCGTACCCAAGCCTATTGATGCTCCGAACGTGAATGGGGCGGCAATCAACGCAGCGGTGCCAAGTGCAGCCCCTCCAACCATAGCTCCGTTCAGAGTATTTCCAAGTTTTTGCACCTCCCCAGCTACGTCTCTAAGCCCTGTAACAGACTGCTGCTGTACGATCTCTTCGTTGCGTGAACTGTCCAAAAGATTCTCCACAAGTTTACGGGCGGTCTGTTTCTTTCTGAGGATAGTAAACATATTTCACATTTTGGAGTGACATTTAATGACATGTAATATGAGGCGGTGTTAATGTATGTAACCAAACACGTGACCACACGCTCAAGCTACACTGCAACTGAAACGGTTTCCTACTGGTACACTCAGTGTGTTGGGAAGAACGTTTACGAACACTTGAAGTAGGTATGCCAAAATAGTATTGGGAAGAACGTTTACGAACACTTGAAGTATGTATGCCAAAATAGCATTGGGAAGAACGTTTACGAACTCTTGAAGTATGTATGCCAAAATAGCATTTGGAAGAACAGTTACGAACACTTGAAGTATGTAGGCCAACATAGCATTGGGAAGAACGTTTACAAACATTCAAAGTATGTATACCAATTTCATACCAACCTTTCCATCTCTTTTGACATCTCCTCTGAATAAAGAAACATATTGATGTAACCAGTATTTAGGTTTGGTCTCAGTCAGAATGCATTAGCTTCCAGATGTCTTTGCAATGTACTTCCCTGCCAGCTCAAATGTGAAAGCAGTGTCATGTTAAATGAAACATTAAATTACGTAGTGACAAAAGAGTGAGTTATTGAGTATAGTTTTACGCCACACTCGGTAATATTAGAGCTAAATGGCGGCGGTCTGTAAATAATCGAGTCAGACAATCCAGTGATCAACAACATGAGCATCGATCTACGCAGTTGGGATACGATATTACATGTGTCAACCAAGTCAGCCAGCTTGACCACCTGATCCCGTTAGTCACCTCTGTCGTCAAGCATGGGTTGCTGAAGACCAATTCTAACCTGGATTTTCATGAGTAGTGACAAAAGATACAAATTAATAAATTGAACTGTCCTGCGTACAGCTGACCAAACCTACCATACTGGTCTTCCGGGATCCTGACTTCAACAGTTATCTCCACCTTTTGACCTTTAATCATGTCGAAAACGCCCTCTTCTTGAATGAGATTCAGGATGAGTTCATTCAGTCGACCTTCCTTGGCTGCCTTCTCGATACAATGGAGGAAGTTGGAGTCTGTCACGTGGAGTTTCAGCACCACACTCCCCCGATATATCCGCTCCAGTCCAGCATATAGTGTATTGAAGAACTGTCGCAAATTGTCCCACACTCCACGTCTGTTGGCTACTTCGGTCAAGCGTTCCTCGGCAGCAGTATTTCCGCTGATGGTTATGTGTGTCTCCACTGTGTCAATGCCTGAAAGCAATATAACATTCACTGTCTGAATACTATAGCGACAAGACTATACAAATACCGAAGTATATGAAAACAGATCCATGTAACTAACAAATCCACAGCCTACATGACTAGTTACATCATTAAAAACGAAAATTATAACCCTGATCTGATGTTCCAGAATCAACAATTTGTAAAGCATAACTATCGCAACATGTGTGGTATTGTCCACACCACTAACGCAGAGCATGGGACATATTGCTGATTGTTCTGTAATGGCAATCAAGGTATAAAGACTTTAACCCCATCGAAAATGTATAGGATGCTCTTGGTCTACGTCTACGACCACGTCAGTTTCAGCCACAACACCTCCAACAGTTGGAACAAGCACTGCAGGAAGAGTTAGTGAACATTCCCCTGGCAACATGTCGTAGTCGAAAGGCAGTAGTGCGACGACGACAGGCAGTTCTGGATTCTCATGGACGTCATATAAAATGTTGAAAACAGGTGTCCTTCATCTTGACATGAGATTGTTTGATGTGTGCCATGATGAACGTCGGTCAGTGACAATGACTTGTGCCAAATGTGACCGACGTTTTATGAACTGATGATTATCTATAGAAACCATACATGTGAAAACTAATATTTCTGCGGGTTTTTTCGTCATTCTTGCCGAGTTTGCGAGTTTGTACTTAAACTGATTCTGAATGAACGGTAAAGATTATAATGCTAACTATAAAAACCATCACTCCTTATACAAACATGCTGATTCGTTTTGGTGCCATGATGTTGCCATATATCAGATTTACAGAGATTATGGTTTGCAATTATCCTTTTTGTCATGGAGCCTTGTGGCGAGTTGGTTTGTCACTCTGAATCTTTATGCATAGATCTAAATATGAAACAGTTGAGGCGGCTTCACCTATCTCCTTAATTTCATGTTTAGGTGGGTAAATAAGTAGAATGCAAGTGACTATTTCATGGTTATTGAATGATATCAAATCATCGATATACCTGAAGCTTAAGTTAAACTTCTTGGCAAATTACCTTGTTTTGATTTTGCCAACCCAAGAAGAAATTCTGATTCATATGTATAAAATAACAGTTGCGCAATTGGTACCCATGGTGATGGCTTCTTCTTGGCGAAATGATATACCCCCAAATCTCACAAAGATGTTATCAATGAGAAAGTCCAGCATTTCACATATTGTTTTCTCGGTAAACTTCAAATAACATTTGCTTTAATTTTCGACAAATTGTCCTGAACCTCTGCAGATAGATATGTAGGTATGTCTGTGTTCACCACGTGTGTTAACAAATGCCCCATGGATCAAGGAATGAAGATTTTCCTTAAGACAGTCATGTGACACAGTGGTAGACAACGTTGACAAATATTTGCTTTGACAGAATGGAATTCGGTCAGTTTCTGAGATTGTAAAAATGTATTGGTATTAATTTCGCTTGTCTGAAATAAGTTGTCTGTGCATATCGAGAAAGTCCTTCCTTGATAGTATGAAGGATTATGGTTAATGTTTGAGACAGGGATATGGTGGACAAATCGCCAGTACAAAAGAGGAATGGACATGTATTCAGGTTTAAGAGTCAAAAAAGAAAGAAAGACGTTCATAGACAAGGTACTTACTTGCTTTACGGATCACGACACTCATTTTTACTTCTGTGCCTTGAGGCAATTCATGTATTCTGTTCGTATCCAACACTATGGTGTTTTGGGGTCCCATTTGAAGACAGTTAATTATTCCATTTCTTGTGTCTACCAGCATTTTATTGTTGTTTCCTGCTTGTATGTTAGGTTGGTCATCGTCATCGGACGAGTAACAGATGTCCATGGTGGAGCAGAGTACCTACAACAAATAGGAAGAGGAAGCATGTAATAGGACAGGGAGGAAGTTTTCAATAACCTGTTGATAGTGATGGACAGTAAAATAACAAATGTGTTTCTTTTAAAAAACAATGAACAAAGAGTATTATGAATAGTGACTGCAGAGAAAAAACAATCCCCCATTGCTGCCTCCTCAGTATCCCAGAAACATGTATACACCCCACCATACATTTCCAGTCTACATCTTCAAACGAGATTAAAATGCTTTGACTCAAATTGTCATCACTGGGAATATAGATGCACTTCCGATTTAATCCCGATGTTTTGTGCTCGAGAGAAAGCATGACATTCCCTCTCTGTTTTTATGTGACGCTTCTGGTTCGTAATGGCATCACTTCCGGTAACGCCGAGGACGTCTTCGCGTCCTGACCTACTCACTCATCCTCTTGGGTTACATAAGGGGTATTGACAATATGTAATTTTGTTGATTTCAATTGATCACTTTCTCTTTTCCTTCTGTTGTTTCTTCTCCGCCTGTTTTACTGTAGTCAAACTTGCCATCCGTTTTTAAGCAAATCCTTTCACTTGTGTTTGTCTAAGTCTGATATACGCCTTTGTATTCCTCACAAAATGTTCACAAATTATTTTGTGAGTGTATTACCTTGTAACTGACTTAATATATGTATTTATGTATATCACTGAAGGAGGCAGAACCCACTGTTTCAGGTAAACGTTGGCAGTCCACTGACAAACATCATTCTGACCACTTTGACACATCCCCGGAACAACAAATAGCTACCGCACTTGGCATTACTACATGGATGTAACTGTGTTGTCGTCTGCCAAGTCAGATTTGTTCGGGCGATAGTAATCATGACATTCCATAACAACCAAACAGAATATCAGAGAATGTATTGATCAAAACATTTTCAATCTGCCGAAATACAAATTTATAAGACGAAATTATATCGTATTTAAAAACGAATTCGTCAACGTTTGACTAATATTATTATTATTTTATAAACTGAATAAACATGAAATATATATATACACTGAATAAACATGAAATATATATATATACACTGACTATGATATATAATATATATAAACTGAATAAACATGACTATGAAATATATACACTGAATAAACATGACTATGAAATATATATATACACTGAATAAACAGGACTATGAAAGATATATATATACACCCACACATTGCAACTCTCCTAACAAACAGCATATAAACAAATCAACTGTAGACGCCAGACACTGCGACTATCAGCTGTTTTCAGTCTGTCGTATCAAGAGTGTATGTGTGTAGAAGTGGTATCTTAAAGGATATGAAAATAGAAGCAACAAAACTCTTTCCACGTCCATAGGAAATCTCGATTGTACAATTGTGATGAAATCATGAATATATATTTGTTTCAGCAGCATTACAGCTGTATGATGTTGTTTGTAAACAAATCGAGTCTGAACCGGACATTCCAGTGATTGTCACCATGTGATACGATGACAGAGCATGTGTTAATGAATCACTATGAAATAGTGATGATACCAGGTGTTCGCGAAAAGGTAACCGTATCCTGCCCCACCGGTGGCACCCGTCATAAACATATGCAAAGTCTAGTCAATTGTTCACCTGAAATAATTCGGGAACGTATGGTATAAGTCAAAACAGGGAATTGCATCGGACATAAGTCAAAACAGGGAATTGCATCGGACATGATTTTTGTCACTGATGAGCCAAATTTGGAATTTCCTCCACATGTCTTCCATAAAGCGTTTTGAAAGCTTTACTGAGGCCTTGGATATGGAAACGGTACGCTCTTACCACGGTACAGTACGTATTGCGGTACAAGATCTTCGGTTCGGTATATGAGATAAGATCATAATTCAAAAATGGACAATACGAGCTAAACCTTACATTGTTTAATGACAGGGAAATAATAATCATAATCTTTGCTATTTTGAATGAACAAAACTGTCATTTCATGACTAGATTGAAAAAGTAATAAGTCCGATAATATTGTAAACAGTGTTTTTTTTAATGAAATTGGGATTAAATGTAATCAAATAAAAAGAGATCGAGGAAGTTTTATTATGAGTTTTTACATCATACGTTTTCGGATGGCATGTTTACTCGCGCTATATGGCGCTGTGTGTTGCATCAGAGCAAACATGGTGAGTACTCGGCTGATGGTATGTCTTTATGATAAAGTTGTCTTTTATAAGTTATTACGATGTTCGTCTGATTTGAAATAACTGAAAAAGAATCAGAACCCAGCTACTGATCTGGTATCTGCAGTTGCTGTCTTGCTGACTTTGTAAGTTGACGACTTGAGGCGATCTCGACCTTACTTCCAGGAAAACAGCGGTCGTCCAGCAAAGAAATGCACAGGTTTTGATGAAATGATTCGATTTCAAGACGTTTTGGAAAAGGTTCAAAAAGGTGAATAAAATGACGGTACGAAAACCGAAAATACCGAATTTTAGGATTGCATTACGGTATTCCTAACCGAAGGCAAAATACCGCGGTTCAACTAATACCGCGGTTCAACTAATACCGCGGTTCAACTAATACCGCGGTATACCGTTTGACCCCTACTAATCAAGAAATTTCTGAGCAAGAGTGGCATGACGCCTTTTGAATTCCTGATAAAAATAGCACGCTAGATTGTACCTCAGAGCTGTTGGAATATTGCCCAACATGAAAGGAAGATGACTAATGGAAAGTTGAAATCAACCCTTTTGTCATTCAGCTTTGTGGAGAAATGTGTCACTGAATCTTTATGTATAGATCTAAATATGAAACAGTTGAGGCGGTCTCACTTGTCTTCTTAATGTCAAGATCAGGTCGGTAAATCAGTGGAATGCAATTGGCTATTTGCAGGTCACTTAAAATCCAAAGCGTTAGCATTCATCAGACAATTATTAGTCAATTAACGTGTGCTTTTTCCTTTCCATAAAATTTGAGACGTAAAGATCATAGAAATAATAAATAACAACAGAACAAGAAAACATGAATAGACGTAGAATAGTATATGTAACTAAAGGTTTAGGTGACAATTGACCGCTGTCGGTAGTCTCTATGAGAGGGTGTATACAAGCATCGTCTTGAAGGAGTAAACATTTATACACGGTGAACTCCTAGCTACAAACATCTCAACAAACCCCTTTCCATAAAATAGACCATCCAGAATACCTACCAATTATTGCGATGTTGATGCTAATATCACTTTTATTAGACACAGTAACGAATTCAAAGTATTCGTAGAAAGGCATACAATGTCCATGTGAAAGTGTTGAAATCAGACACTACACAATTAGCTTCCCAAAATGACCTATTCTAGGGCGTAATCTGACCTTATGATGCAGCTGTAAGGGACTAATATTTTCATTGGCTGATATGTAGGCTTGTTGGCCATGGTATGTAATACCGAGCCGACCTGACATAGACAGATGATGCTATGAAGAAGATCCCAGGCAGACTGGGCGCCGGCCCAATCGTTGAAGTTCAACATCGTGTCAAACAGGATGAACCCGTTTAAACCCAGTGAGGGGATTCCCCAAGTGCTGAATTTTTTTGCGAATGATGGTGGCGATTTTGTAACTTGAAGCATAAACAATACACATACTATAAATGTTAACACAATAACAACACAACACGGACATGCTATAAATGTTAACACAATAACAACACAACACAACACAACATGCTAACAGGTTATAATACAGGCCACACAAAGCCAAGGAGGCTATACAAGAGAGTCAGTCACCTTACACAGGCGACAGTGATTGACAGCAAGGTACATACTGCGTCGCAGTACTGCGACCATGAAATGTACGTGTAATACGCCACACGCTACTTACAGTATAATGAATGTCCGCTAAGATCCTATTCTGTCCACCCCTTGCTGCTGTGTACACGTCTACCGTCAGTGTCCAACACGGCACGCATGTGATGGCTTTGTGTGACGCTTGACCTGCCACCGATAACCTACCTCGGCTAAACCTGCATTCAGTCTCTTACGTTCTATATGAATTCAAATAAAGATTCCTCGGTAATATAAATAAGTTGTCCCTATGAAAGACTGGCGTTCTTAGACTGTCCTCTTACCTAGACGTGTCTATTATAAATGGATTGAATCACAACACTTCCCTGGACTTAACATCCAGTGCAGCCTTGCAGCAAGGCTATATCTGGGTCTCCTGCCTTCGACGGTTGTGTCTGAGCCGCTGAGTGGAGGAGGGGACGGTATAGACAACTTTTAGAGGATATTACACACATAGCCTGTCAACAAAAGTAACCGGCATGTGTGTCATGTCTAGCCTGTTTTTATCGATGGCACGGTGACATTTGACCTTTAGTTACCAGCTTCTTCCGGGAGTACCTCAATAAGAGAAATTGTGAGAGAATGTTTTAGTTGTGTCCCTCGAATTTTTGCAGACGTCCCCCTTCCGTGTTTACAAGGTAGAGTGTCAGGATGCCATAGCGGATAGAACCACTATGACCTCATATTGAGATACCAGCTTATTGAGTTTTAACTGTGATGTTTAAACTGTGAATGTCTGAAAGTAGTCTGTCTCACAGGCCCTGAACAACATTATTTCCCCAACTGCCTAGCCCTCCTTGCAATAAATGAAGCAAGTTTAGATTTCCTCAGGTTCTGAATTTCACATCTCACTAGAGCTCCTTTTCAGTTTAAATCGATTTATTTGTTACTATTTACATTATATATATTCACAGACTAAGCTTTAGTCTAGTCTGAGAGAGGAGACATTGAATACACAATATCAAGAGAAAAACCGTCTAATATTGTCACGTAGACATAACCCCATAATATACTCAGCAGCAAAAAACCGTCAGTACGAATTCAAAATTAGATAGGCACTGTAATCACATCACTACAGAAATAGACATAATAAGCCGATCGAAAACATTTTGTGTACAATATCTTGACACATCAATGAATAACTCAGCACAATTCCAAGACATTACGTGAACGTTTGCAGTCTT